ACACGAAATTAAACATCAGCCCAATTTAAAAATCCAGTAAATTTCACTAGCCCATTTCAAATGTATCCAATATTAGCCCAATTTAAAACCCAAATGTTATTTACATACGTACCACTAACTTAAAAGGGTTTGTTCCGGTAGATCTAACACATCTGTTTCCTGAAAAGGATAGAGTACAAGAAAAACAATAAAGCCCAGCTTCACAATCTGCGTCCGTTGCGCATTTGTCGTCCAGCTGAATATGACACATTTGAAAAAAACAAAATAAGTCGCATTTAACTGAATTCAATATTTATTTATTTTTACAAAGAGTGTGAAAAATCCCTAAAATTTATTTAAAAAATTAATTTAAATCTATACTTTCAAAACCATATTTGAATTCAATAACATAAAATATTTATGGCTAATTCAATCAAATTTAAAAATGAATGTTGAGCAACTGCACTCATTGTTTTCAGCCTGAACACAACTCAGACATATACAACAACAAGAAACCCTTAATTATATATAATTAAAATTGATGAACATTTAAGCGCACTGACTCTAAATCTTGAATCGACAGCACAACACCAATAGTACCTTGCATGTTCCATTAGAGCAAGCAGTGGCGACAACGAAGAATGCACAGATAGTGAGCAGTAAAGGAGAAATGTTTTGATTAGAAACCATGATATGAAGATGAAGAGGGAGGAGGAGGAGGTTGTGAAGAGGGGAAAAAGAGTGGTTTATTTAGAGAAAAAAAAAATAGAAGAAGAAAGGGTATATATAGAATACTAAAATATCTATAGGTTTGTTTTGAGTATTGGCTGAGATAACGAAGCCATAATTGTTGGGAGAAAGAAACTGACAGCGGAAATAGCAAAGGTTATATACTCTTTATATCAGGATAGCGAAATTTGAATGAGAATGCGAGACTTTTCCAGTAGTTTGAACGACGCGTGGAGACTTTAATTAATTACTTTTAGGAGTGAAGAGATTATAGAAATTTCATGATTAAAGAATAATCATAAGAGATTTACAAGGAGATCTGATTAATGCACAGGAGGATCATCTTCCTAAAATGTTTAACGTATGTTAATAAATGATAGTCAATATTGACTCCAGATTTGTTTGTTCAGCAACTCATCCTAACTTATTACTTTTAATTAATATAATACGGTACTAAGATGAAGAAAAAAAGGGAAGCCTTATTAATAACATTCTGCAAATTGATGATGCAAGTTAATGATCCATTTAAGTATTAAAATTACCACTTTCATCAGTGCTTTCATGTAGTAACAACACACCGAGCAATTGACTTTAAATTACCTGCTTAAAAATATTTAATCCGGTTAAAGAAAATGATTTAAGCAGTGTTATTTCAGTTTAAGTTATTGCTTATTTAAGATGTGTAAGGATAAGGACATTCTCTGGTATGAAATCCATTGAAGAAATATATAGGCAGAAACTTGGGACCAAATCCATTAATAATGCAATTTATTGGTTAACTCATAAAAAGCATACCAATTAAATAAAGAAAGGATAATTATTTTAGTATCCATATTATCGGCTGTTCACATTGTCCAAAAGGACAAAAATTTATTCATACATAGTGTTTATACTAATTTTATAATTAAAACGACCTAGCACATGTTAGTTGTAGAAAATATGGAGTATGCATTAAAAGCTGAAATTTTGATTCGGACAGCCCAAGGAACATATCAACCTTTTCGTCTTGGACTTTTCAGTTATGCTTAATCCATTCATTTTAATAAAGTTTACGTAGTGAAAATTTATATTTTCGCTCTATGGAATGAAATTTAGTGATAGCAGTTCAAATAATTAATTTGACTATTTAAATTCCTTCCCGCAAAGGGTTTAAAAAAACAATAAAAAAACAGTAGCAACTTTTCATGCTTAGAAGGACGGTCCATATGCGTATACATAAATAAGACATGTAGGTTTTCGATTGTCCCCAAATAATGTTTTTCTTTGATATCTTATTTTTATTTTGTACGAAAGTGAAGGGCCTTGGAATTCTTAGGCAATTGTGAGATTTCCATCCAGTTCTTCAGCTTCGAGAAAATATGGAGGAGGAATGGCAATATGAAAAGAAAATTGAGCCGTTACAATGAAAGGAGAGTAATTTATTGTAGCGAGTCTAAAAAAACTTGTTTGGTGAGTACATTGTTTTGTTCCATTCCAAGAATTTTAACACGATTTTATAGCCATGTTGGAACAATTCTATATATAGCAGATCATTAAACATTTTTTCTAATTGTTGTAAAATCTACAATACAGGATTTAGTAATTTAATGTTTGGATTAATATTGTTAAAGATAATACAGAAAAGAGAAATCTTTAGACCATTTGCAATTACGGGCATTCACGCACGAGTTGCAAAATCAAACGGGCCTACCGTACTCCAACAAAGTAAAGGGATTGTTACCCAGTCAGATTCAATATTTACTTTTTCTAGCCGGTATACATAGATTATACATTATTTATACACAGTTATACATATGTTATACACGAATTATACGTATATTATACATTCATCGTCTATTTTTAGTTTAAGAGATTAGGTGGACGGCTATTTGAGTTAATTCTTCCAAAGTAAACTTAGCAATGTACAGATAATAGGTCCAATGCTGATTTAGAGATGGGCCTTTTTCGAATATATACGACATTTTAAATTTATTTACCCGGTTTTATCTAAGTTTTTATATTTACATAAAGTAACTAAAGTTTTTTTAGAAAATAGATACAAATTCGGCCAAAATATATAATTTATCTATAACTTAAATATATGTTTTTTGTACAAAATTCGGTCAAAATATATAATTTATCTAAAACTTAAATATACATTTTTTGCACAGAATCAGGTAAAAACTATAATTTATATAAAACTTGTATATATCTAAGTTTTAGATATTTTGTATACCGTTTTAATACTCGATATGCAAAATACATAAAATTTGTTTATATCTTCTTTTTCGAGTTTCAATCTGAAATTTCAACCCAAACCACCTCAAATATTCACCAAATTCTGTCAAATTTGAGATTATAAACTCCAAAGGATATTCCCAATCATTTGCAATAACACCTAATCCAAACAAAAAATAATTTTGCAAATTTCGATTTTCGAATTCAAACCTTCTAAGCTTTCTAATGGATTAACATAGTTTCCAATTCAATCTATTCGCTTCTGATTAATACTATTTTGCTTATTGATCCAAAAGGATAAAAGAAATAAATGATCTTCCCTCGTTCAAAAGTGATAATTCGTTCATTGTTTAACATAGAAAAAAAATATAAAGAAAGAGAAAACTAAATAGAATTGCTTGATGCCAAATCTCCTTGTTCTCGTAAAGGTATGGCTGAAGTTGAGGAAAAAGAGGCCAAACATTCTACTGTTAATTTATAATTTTAGTTTTGGGGTGGAAGAGGAAGAGAAAGTATGGAAAATTAGAGTGTAATACGTTACTTTGCATAAATTGGTAATTTGTAAATGGACTTGTAATTAAGTTAAAACCTCAATAGTGAGGTTAAATAAGTTTCAAAATTAATATAGATAAGTAAAAATATCTTTAGAGATTGCTTTGTCCCAATATGAATTAATTGTGTGGTTTTAACTAGACATTATTTAAGATAATATTTGGTTAAATGGAAAACTAGAAACGAAAAGTATGAAAGTGAAAGAGACTAAGGGTGGGTTTGTTGCGAAGGAAAATATTTTCTTGAAAAATAAGTGATTTTCTTACTTATCTTCTGTTGTTTGGTTAGGTAGTAAAAAATATTATTTGAAAAATATATTACTTAGGCAAACATTATCGGAGACGAAATGGGTAAAGGCGAGGAGAGTGGTAGGCTAGGGTCTAGGGGCCGGAATCGTGGTGGTGAGGATAGGAGGGTAGCATAAGTAGGGNGAAAAAGAGTTTTAAGATTTATTTTTTTCTTCTTTTGGTAGAGAAGTCATTTTCTTCTAATTGTTCTTGAGAAAAATATTTTTCCAAATACTTAATCCAATCAAACATAGGAAAATTAAAAATATTTTACAGCCTTCCTACCAAACAAACCCTAATAATCAAACCAACCAAGTGATTACGATGACTAAAGATCGATAAAGAACAGTACATCGTAGGGGTGTACAAACCAAACCGATAACCCGTACCAACCCGATAGTTCGAGTCAATCCGAAAAAAAAAATTCGACTAGTGGTTTGGTTTGACTTGGTTTGGCATTGAAAAATAAAATCCGGCCATAATAAGGTTGGTTTGGTATTAATTAAAAAAAAAATTAAACTAAAACCAAGCCAACTCGACATTACATGTATACATATTTTATATATTAGATATAAAATATTTATTAGAATGTAAGTTATAAATTTTTTTAATTTTTTTTATAATTTATATATTTAGCATAATATTTTAAGTTGGTTATATAGTCCATGTAAATATTTTTTTTTATCTGGACCATAAAAGAATAATTGAGCCCAAACCAAAAACTAGTCCTAAAGCAGAACCAGACTAGTCCTAAACTAGTTCTAAAACACTAACAGTCGAAACCATTTTGCCTCTTCTCCACTAAACTGTGATTATTTCACCGTCTCCGAATGCGATTGCAATGGACACTATTAAACATGAGAAAGCAAGAAAATTTGAGGAGTTTGTTGATCTCTGTGTGTACCAGATCTTGTGGATGTGGAGATGTTCTATAAAGGACATCTCTATATATTCCTCTAAAAAGAATATCTTTGGAAGAGAATGGATGATGATTAAAGTTTTCATCAGTTTTCTAGAACTGAAATTGGAATCATACAATCTATTGACTAGCATAGTTGAGGTTAATGCTAAAAAATAAAAATATGATTGTTATTGGTAAAATATTTTTAGGACTAAAAAAATATTTGGAGTATAAGTTTATCAGAAAAAAATCCGAAAAATTCGAGAAAAATCGATATTGAAAAACCCGACTTTTATTGGTTTGGTTTGGTCTATAGATTTAAAAATCTGATACAATTGATTTGATTTGGTAATTGCAAAATCCGAATCAACCCGACCTATGTACACCCCAGTATATCGTTATAGAAACACTCAAATTACACAGAATGACGACTTCAACCCGACATGGGATAATCAAGAATCCACATGTTCTTTTCACTATATCCCAAACATTTAGAAAGAAAAAAAAAAGGAGCAAGAAATATAGACCAATTATCACGACTTATAATCTTTTTGTACACACGGATATTTTGGAAAAAGAAAGCAATATTATATTTTTTTTAAAGGACAAAACATGGTTATTAGGGATTTCAGTTTTTGTCATGATCAGAGAAGAAACGGTTGATAGAAGGCATGACTTGAGGAGGACGAGTTCGAAGGAATTTGCGAAGGCTGTGCTGTGCATACTTTTCTCCTTCTTCTTCATTTTCTAGTACTGCCATGCTACGATGAACTTTGCTGATCCTATACATTTTTTAACAATAATTAATATATGAAAATTTAGCTGTAAAATTAATTATTAATGACTCAAAACACTGACATATATAGTGAGATTTAAAAAAATTAGTACCTGACATCAGGGTTTAAGAGAACATTTCTTGTCAGTTGAAAAACGCACATTCCCGTAACGAATGTCATGGCCGCCATTAGTGGGTATACCTGCATTATATATATGTATACTCAATTCGATCATATTTATTGTCACAAATTAAATGAGTTTTGAATGTAATGATAATTTGCACTCACTAATCTGTTATTGTTGAAATCTTCACTGTTTGAGAATCACAATACTAACTTTTTGGAAGAAAAAATTACTTACACTCTCATCAATTAATGAATTAAAGGGACAATCTTATAAGCTTTCTAATGAATTGTTTATTCACACTTAGTTTACCTGATGCTTAATGACAAACTGACAGAATAAGCCTAACAATCTTAGTGCATATACAACAGCTTATACGACTCAAAGTATTCAAGTAAACAAATACAACGCATTTAGTACAAAATTATAAAAATTGAATCCATCAAATTTAAATTTAGAATCCGTCTCTAAATATATGGATATATAAAATAGGGATTATTAGTTGAGGAAGTATGTTAAGTATTACCTCGGGTCTCATCCAACGCCCCATTTGGTGTGATGTGTTCTTCTTATCAACTGCTTGGTGCCGCGAGTGATATTTATAAGAATTAAAGAGTAAATTTCTCTTTAAGGTTTGGATAGTAGAGTTCAAGTTCTGTATGATGAAGGCAGATATGGTATTTTGTCTCCTGTATTTTCCTTCATTTATATATATATAGCACCCTTAGTCCACCTATATTAGTATTAATTACTATACCATTGGGAAATTGGAAAAAAATTATAAAGGTTATTGGCTGGATTTTGGTGGCAATTCCACCATTTTCAGTGGGCTGATAATAACTAGTTTTCATTTGGAAAGCAATAAAACCAGGTGCTAAGTAGTCTACGTAGCCTCTTGTTTTTGAGTTGACCTTATTTTGTCATCTATTTTCTTGTTCTATACATGCTTCTTTTCTATTCTTGACAACCATTCTAGGATTAAAGAAATTTGCAAGTAGCACTATTACAATTTACAGTTCTTATACTTGAAAGACTGCCGGTTCAAAAATTAATTGAAAACTGAAAAGTAAGCAGATTATTATTGCAATCTCTTTGACTTTGAATTGACCAAGAAAAAAGCAATCGTTTCATTGAAATTTAAGAAAATCTATGGATGCATTGAAACAAGGGACTTAATTAATAAGTCAAATACCAATGGATATACCTACACTTTATTCAACCCTAGTTTTTATTAGCGTTTTTCTGTAACAAACTTTTTGATGTTTTTAATTATTTTGATTCAATGATAGTCATTGTACTAATTAAAATTAAACACGCTAATTTTGGTAGTCAGTAAATAAATTTTGCAATCACATTATAATCATGTAATTAATTAGAACTAAGAACTACTCAATTACATATTCTTCTCCATCTCATCTTATTTAGTTAGATAAAGATACACACAAAGATTGTAGAGAAGCAGCATATGTGATGCAATAAGGAAGAATTAAGATGAAAAGAACTAATCCAGGAGCGCAGCTCGAGGAAGATGAGGCTAAATCAGGGAATGATCCGAGATATTTAGCTAATTTGAGAGAGAAGTATAGAGGGAAGAGAGATGTTATCATATTTGAATGAAATGTACAATACAATTATACAATTACACACATTCAAATTCTATACCATTTTAGTGTAAATATGTGTTTTATGTCTAATCTTTATATTTTAAACCTTTATCTCACTTTTAGTAAAATTCATAAAAACTACAAAATTATTCACGCCTTTAGAATACAAATTTTATTTCTATTTGTAAAGAGAAAAAGAAAATTTACAAAAATATTTGATTTCTTCTAATTAAAATTTTAATAAGTAAGCTATGGTATTTTTCTTAGTATCATTTAAATCACATGTAAAAATTTAGTTTTATTAGTATTAGTTTTTTAGTATGAAAAGTAGTTGGTTAATATTCTTATTTTTGTATTTTTTATTATTAAATAAAACAAAAAGTAAAAATAATAAGAATAAAAGCAAGACAAAAGGAAAATGTCACGCGGTCCTTGGCTATGTATTTGCCAATGCAAACAATATTCTTTTTAACAAAATTTATTTGAACCTCACAAGACAAGAATTGCCCACAATTGTAATATTTGATTTCCTAAGAATCATGTTGACTAAGCACACAAAAGCAGTTCCCATTTTTCTTTTCACCTGCACACGACCATTTGCACACAATTACCCCACGTTGCCCACTCCTACATTATGCACACACTCACTTCTTTTATTTATTTTTTTAAATTCAAACAATTCACAACTAACCCATCTCTGCTACTTATCCCTAAAACCACCAACTCTAACCCTCACATCCTATTCTCAAGTACATGATCATAACAACCATCCAATCAACTTTGATATATAAGATCATTTTCCTCTCATTAGTGAGAAGAAAAAGATTTAGGAAGAAAAAATTTGGTTTTGAGGTGAAAAAGTTTATTGAAAAGTAACTTTTTCCCATGTTAGTTTGAGAGTCCTATTAGTTCGTCATATTTAATTAAAAAAATCAAGACAGAGTTTGATGAGGATGGATTTTAACTAAAATTCAAGGTCAAAATTCGAGGTTCAGTTCCGGTGGTGGTTAGCTTTTGTCCGGAAGAGTTTAACTACCAGAGTTTCATTTTGTACATTGCTCATCTAAAAAAAGAATTATATTCACTTATTTTCTTTTACAAATATTGGAAAGCTTTAATTCTAAGGTTCATTACTTCTTGTCCTTTCCGTATCATTAAGTAATTTAGCATCTGTTTATTTATGTGATGTGGTTGAAGTGTAGATTCATGCCATGTTTTGTTATAATCTTATTTTAATTAGTGAGTTCCATGATTTTAGTCTAATACATGAACTTTTCTTTTTTTCAAAGAAAAATGGAAAAGGAGAACCATGTCCATTTTTTTCTCTTTTTTTTTCAAAGTTCAAAGGGTTTTAGAATGTGTGGTGTTGCGTTCATGGTCTTTTTTTTTTGTCGTCTTCCTTTGGTTGTGTAACGACTCGCCCTGTCATTTTGAAAGTATTAGCCCCAATCCCCTATTTATTGCTCCCTCTATTCATTCTGTGGTTACGTGACTTGTCGGGATGTTAGTTTTGGTTTCGGGTGAGTTTCGGAGTGAAATAGGACACATAGTCCCTAAATTGGAAGTTTAAGTCGTAGGAGTTGACCGTAGTTTAACTTGTGTGAAGACGACTCCAGAATGGAGTTTTGACGGTGCCAATAGCTCCGTATGATTATTTTAATCTTAGGAGCGTGTTCGGATGTTGATTTGGAGGTCCGTAGGTCATTTCGGCGTTAATTGGCGAAAGTTGAAAGATTTTTGAAAAGTTTGACCGGGAGTGAACTTTTTAATATCGGGGTCAGATTTTAATTCCGGGACTTTTGACTTATATCTCACCGTATTTTGAGAAATTTTACGTATTGAGCTTATAGTTTATTTATGCAATTGTTGAAGTTTTAAAATTTTAAGTTTTTATTTGATGTTTCCGCATATTATTACTTACCTAGTCTTAGAGATTAGGTATTGTCACGACATTCTACAGAAGGGATTTGGGGTCGTGACAGGTTGGTATCAGAGCTCTAGGTTCATGGGTGTTATGAGTCACAAGCAGGTTTAGTAGAGTCTCGCGGATCGGTACGGAGACGTCTGTACTTATCTTTGGGAGGCTGTGGAACTGTTAGGAAAAGTTTTACTTCTTTGATTCCTTATCGTGCGAAATCTTTGACTTCGAATTCTAAATTTCTATCTTTCTATTCTCTCATAAATGGTGAGAACACGTATAGCTGGATCAGATGACCAGGCACCCATGCCCCCTTCTAGAGACGCGGGAGGCCGAGGTCGGGGTAGAGACCGAGGACGTCCACGTGGTGCAGCCAGAGCACCTGCACGAGATACGACAGAGGAGTCACCAGTAGCTCCAGTTGGAGGGCAGTCACCTTAGACGCATGTTACTGCACCAGCTCTCCAAGAGACTCTTGCCCAATTTCTGAGCATGTTCGACACTGTAGCTCAGGCAGGCTTGATCCCACTTGCTCCTACTACATCTCAGGCCATGGGAGGAGCATAGACTCCCGCCGCTCGTACCTTAGAGCAGCGGGTCCACGTTGATCAGGTTCCAGAGGTTATACCAGTGCAACCGGTAGCCCAGTTTAGCCCGAGGTTAGGGCAGCAGTTTCACGACCCAAACCAATGGGCCGCGACGGGCACCCGATACCTTACTCAACCGAGTACCAACGTAACGTATCTTTCGTATCATACTATCATAGGTAAATGATTCGGAGAGGCTGTCGTGAGATAAGTAGAATAAAACATGAGAAAATACTCAATATAGGATGACCTAACTTGATATACTGACTTATATATATGATGTGCTAGCCTATAAGGCCATACCGGTATCCATATACATGACATTTGTCTACAAGTCTCTAAGAGTACATAAATATCATAAAGGTCGGGACAGAGCCCTGACATACTAATCAATACATGTCTAAATCATACTGACCAAATAGGCAACTCCGAAACAAGTGGAGTGCACAAACACCTTCTGCTGAACTGATAGCCTACTAGGAGAACTGTCATCCTGTCTATCGGGACCTGCGGGCATGAAATAAAGTGTCCCCAAGCAAAAGAGATGTCAGTACAAATAATGTACCGAGTATGTAAGGAATGAAAATCAGTAAATCATAGACATGAGAGAAACATGGAGTAAAAGACTTGACATGTAAGTCTGAATAGCTCTGTGAATCATTTAATATTATAATGTCATGCATATAATTATCATACCATGCATAGGTATATGCGTTCATAACATCATCAAGCCTCTGAGGACATCTCATCATATCATCTCGGCCACTGCGGGCAAATCATCAACGTATACCAGCTGATCAGGTGGTGGTACGTATATAATGCCTTAACCTTTTTCCATATCCCATATAAATATATATACATATATATGTGTATATAACGTCATCTGGTCATTGGTCAATGTACATGTATAAATAAATGCAATGCATGAGAAATACGTCAATAAAATCTTTCGGAATATCATAAGACCACTATGCCTTTGATTAATATCATGAAATAAACTTTATCAATTTGCGTATTTTTTTGAGACCCATAAACAGATGATAGAATAATAAGACACATGGGGAATCAAGAATATAGACCTCCCTAGTATTTCTATGAATAGAGTAATTTATGAAAGTTGCGTATTTGCTCGTTTCGTTTGTATCGTATGGATCATGCCAAAAGAAAATGAGGGATAGTCTTAACATACCTTAAATCCGCTGAGTCCTAAATACCTTTCAAAAAATTCTTCAAACAACTCAACTCAATCTACCACATCATAAGGAGATTCAAAATCAGTGCTGAGTAAAGGCTAAGTCCTCAACTTAAACTAGTAGCTCGTTTACGTAAATTTGGGCAGCATCTTCCCAGTAACTAGGCCCTCCTCCAATATCATATACCAACAGCAACAAGAACACAACAATAACAACATGTAATCATCATTTTCCAACCTTATATCCATCACAATATACCACAAAATAGCTCACACACCCTAATCACTTCATACATAAAACGACAACAAAAGTAGTGTCAAACAACTTAAAAGAATATAACGACGAACGACCAGACCACCATTCCGTCATTATGTGGTTATTATCCACACCATT